AGGATCACAGCTCACTGCAGCCTTGACTTCCTGGGCTCAAGTGATCCTCCCACCTCAGCCTTCCAGGTAGCTGGGACCATGACTCGTGCCACTAGGCCTGGGTATTTTTTTTTTTTTTAAGAGATGGGTTTTTGTCATGTTGCCCAGCCTGGCTCAAACTCATGGCTGCGTCCACCTTGGCCTCTCACAGTGCAGGGATTACAGGCACGAGCCACTGTGCCTGGCCTGGTTTTGTTTTTTCAGCGATGTGGGAAGTTATTCAGCTAGGTGTGAGTGAGGAACTGGAACCTTTCTCCTGGACCTCCGTGCATGGATTTGGGAACTTCTTTCTCAATCTCAGTCTATTTTCCTCCAATGTTTAGGGTCTCTGTTCTTTTCTGTGCAGTCCTGACCACTACATGCGCTCTCCACGGTTGTAAGGGATGGTGGTTTGGACACAAAATACCTAATATCCTGGGTGTCAAAATTCCCTAGTGAAGTCAGGCCCTGGGCTTCTGTTTTGTGAGTCTCAGAAATCAGACAGACATGAGCTGTTATTAGTGGAAGCACCAAATAAATACTCTGGTGTGCAGTTTTGCTCAGCCTGGCCACTGAAAGAGCCACCTAAATAAAATCTTAGGTCCAAAAAAATTGGCCTTCCAGGGCCCCAGCACCCTTTTTACCAGTCTAGAAATGTTGCAGGACGAGCCGTGGACAAAACCCCTCAGACACGGGAGTGAGGAAGGAAGAGACTTTATTCAGCCATGGAGCATCGGCAGACTTGTATCCCAAAACCGAGCTCCCCGAAGAGCAGTTCCTTTCCCTTTTTAAGGGCTTACAACTCTAAACGGGGAGCAGAGGTGAAACTGTGTTATTGCCCGTTGGCCAGGCAGCTGAGCTCACAGTCTTTGGCTTTCACTGATTTGCTCATTTATATTCGGCACAGACGGAAAGGGAAGAAGCGGAAGGGTCACCAGAGCTGAACAAAGGCAGTAAATCACCTGGTGGCAGACGCAACTCTAACCGGGAGTCTGGATTGTACAAACATGGAGTGTGTGACTGGGGGCAGGTTCCTGGGTCAGAGGCAGAACATTCCTCTGCTACATTCTCAAGGTTTCTAGATAACATAGATACCAGTTACAGAAGGGGAGTTATTTCCCCAGCCCCTCAGGGCCACTGGCATCAGCTAGTCGCCTGACTGCTGACTTTAGCTTCTTGCTATTTTACTTTTTCTGCCAGCAAGCAACAGGCAGGAAATAAATGGCTTCCCTCACAGTAATAATCTTTCATCAGCCTAATTTCCTTTCTTTTTAATCTGAATGTATGGTGTAATGTGCACAAAATACACAAGTCCACATCTCAGCATTCTGTGGACTCAAAATGTGCCAAAGGTGGAAACTTTGCTTCTGTAACATGTTAGCAGTCAACTTCTCTATACATCAAACATTCAGCAAATTCAAACATTTTCCACAAAAGCTGTGTGACTTTGGCCAAATTACTTAACCTCTCTGAGCTTCAGTGTGTGTACTTCCTCATGTCATGATTAAATGAGATTTAATACCTACTGGCTTAAAAAGGAAAAAAATTAAATGAGACAATGGGTGTGAAGCAGTTTGTGGCTGAAAGTAAGCATTCAATAAATATTCAGTTTTTTTTTTTTTTTTGAGACAGAGTCTCACCCTGTTGCGCAGGCTGGAGTGCAACGGCATGATCTCAGCTCACGGCAACCTCCAAATTTTCCTGCCTCAGCCTCCTGGGCAGCTGGGATTACAGGAATGTGCCACCAAGTCGGCTACTTTTTGTATTTTTAGTAGAGACGGATTTTCACCATGCTGGCCAGGCTGGTCTTGAACTCCTGACCTCAGGGGATTCACCCTCCTCGGCCTCCCAAAGTTCTGGGATTACAGGCATGAGTATTCAGTTTTAAAATTGTAATCTCTCAAATCTGGCCAATATGGTGAAACCCTGTCTCTACTAAAAACACAAAAATTAGCCAGGCGTGGTGGCCCGCACCTGTAATCCCAGTTACTCCGGAGACTGAGGCAAAAGAATCGCTTGAACCCGGAAGGCGGAGGTTGCAGTGAGCCGAGATCGCGCCACTGCACTCTAGCCAGGGCAACAGAGCAAGACTCCAAATCAAAAAAAAAAAATTAATCTCAGCAGTGGCGCCCTGCAGAGGCTACACCCTGGTGGGACCGAATCTCCCGAGTCTCTGCCGCTTCCCCTGATCCTTGCACCAGGTCAATCCTTCCTTCACCCAGGGTCTACTGAGCGCCATCCCTCCTGCTGGACGCTGGCTACCCGAGTAGGGATCAAGCCAGGTCCCTGCCATTCCCCAGCACGCAGCCGAGTAGGAAAGCAGCTCGCAAAGCCAGCGAACGGGCAGCGATCCAGGTGTGTACCTGGTTTTCTCAGGGCAGGCGGGGAGCGCAGGTCTGTGTCTGACGCGGTGCCAGGGGTTCGGAGCGGTAATCCAGGAATCTGGCACTGCCCCTTTAGGAGCGCGGGCGCAGGAAGAGAAGGGGACTCTGGGTGCAGCCCTAAGGCCCAGGAGGATCCGCGGGAGGCGGCAGGACCCAGGGCCTTGAATGCCGGGCCGCAAGATCGGCCTCCTCCCGTCCGCGAAAGGAGCCCCGAAAAGCTTGTGCCCAGGAGGGAGGCCTCGGCCTGGCCGGTCACCTTGCAGGAAGGGTCCCGGACAGCGCAAAGCCAATGCAGGAGGCGCCCCGCCCTAGCGGATGGGAAGCGCCCCAGCCGCTGAAGGCAGAAGTAACGGCCTGCAGGCTACGGAACGCCGGGCGTTCGCCAGGGCGGGAGGAGCCGGAAACTCCGGGCGGGAGGCCTGTGGGCCCAGCGGTGCGGCCGCCGCCGAGGGGGCGGGCCCAGCTCTCCCGAGGCAGGTGATGGGTCGGCCCCGGTGGCGGCGGCGGCGCGCGCGACGGTCCCCTCAGTCTGGGTGAGTCCCTGGGCGCGAGCCCGGTCCCCGCTAGCTCCTGAATTGCCTCTCGGCGCCGGGCTGTGACTCCCTCTGGCCGGCCCGGACTCTGGCTCCCGCGGCACCGTCTGGAGGGATAGAGCCCGGCCGGGGCCTCCTTTAGGAGCGTTTCTGTTCTTCTACTCGGTCCTGCCCGGCCAGGACCCCTCAGGGACTTTTGTGGGGCAGGGGCGAATCGTGCGTGGCCCAGATGACCCCAGGCCTAGAAGAAGGCAGTGCGGGGCGGTGGCGGCGCGCACCGCCGAGTGGAACTGAGAGCGTCCCCGGGGCGGGAGCCCGGTAGCGGGGGCAGGGAGACGCGGAGGCTGCCGGGATGCGGACCCAGGGGACGCCAGGCCGGAGTGCGGGAGCCGGAGACGCGAAGGCGGAGCGGGAACGGGATGAGGGAGGGGGCCAGACTGGGAGGGAGGGTGGAGCAGGGGCAGGTCCTGGGCGGGTCGGACTTTAGGGAGTGGAGAGGAGGATCCTGGTGGAGAATAAAACCAGCTGCGCTGAGGCCCGAACACTTGGAGGCAGCAGGGTCCTAGGAAAAGGTTGAAACAGCAGGAGCCCGCCAAGAACCGCCGTGAAGGAGGGTAAAGGAACCGCCCCTGTATCCAGGACGTCCGTTTCAGATTTTGTGGTTCTTGCAGAGCGGGAGCCCACACCAAGATATAGTATGATAACACCTAATAAAGGTGCTTTCGATTCGGTCATTACTTTGGTGATGAACTGAAGACATAATGACTTTTTAAAAAATTTTATTATGAAAGCTTTCAAACTTACACAAAAGTACAGAACCCGGGGGGCGGAGGCTTCAGTGAGCCAAGATCATGCCACTGCACCACTCCAGCCTGGGAGACAGACGGAGACCCTCTCTCATTAAAAAACAAAACAAAACAAAACAAAAACACAGACACATTCCAAATTCACACTGATAATATGCTAATCTTATCTACTAAAAAAGTTCCTTCTGGTCAGGATGGTGGCTCATGCATGTAATGTCAGCACTTTGGGAGGCTGAGGCAGGTGCATCACAAGGGCCGGAGTTCAAGACCAGCCTGGCCAAGTTGTTGAAACCTCGTCTCTACTTAAAATACAAAATTAGCTGGGCATGGTGGTGGGTGCCTGTAATCCGAGCTACTTGGGAGGCTGAGGCAGAGAATTGCTCGAACCTGGGAGGCGGAGGTTGTATCGAGCCAAGATCGTGCCACTGCACTCCAGCCTTGGTGACAGAATGAGACTCCATCTCAAAATAAGTTCTTTCCATGTTTAAAGTGTATGGAGGTTCAGTTATTGAAAATAAAAAGAGTTCTGGAGATTGATTGCACAGCAGTGTTGACAATGCTTAACAGAACTGTACAGCTAAAAATGGTTAAGATGGTGAATTTCATGATATGCCATGATTTTTTTTTTTCTTTTTACAGACAGGGTCTTGCTATATTGTCCAGACTGGCTTCAAACTCCTGGGCTCAAGCAAACCTCCTGCCTCAGCCTCCAGAGTAGCTGGGACTACAGGCGAGCACAACTCGCCTGGCAAACCACAATTTTTAAGTTCCTTTTAAACAAAATCTCCTCTTTGACTTAGAACCAAGGTAAAGAAAAATAATTAATTAAACAAAATCTAATATTTCAAACCAACAAAGACATTTGACTTCACTTGTGCAACGGAAAGTAACTCACTGGCCAAGTAGAGGCCTCTGGAGTTGTATTTTCTTTTCTTTTCTTTTTTTTTTTTTTTTCAGACGGAGTTTCGCTCATGTTACCCAGGCTGGAGTGCAATGGCGCCATCTCGGCTCACCGCAACCTCCGCCTTCTGGGTTCAGGCAATTCTCCTGCCTCAGCCTCCTGAGTAGCTGGGATTACAGGCACGCGCCACCATGCCCAGCTAATTTTTTTTATTTTTTTTAGTAGAGATGGGGTTTTCACCATGTTGGCCAGGATGGTCTTGATCTCTTAACCTTGTGATCCACCCGCCTCGGCCTCCCAAAGTGCTGGGATTACAGGCGTGAGCCACTGCGCCTGGTGGAGTTGTATTTTCACTGGGAAGGCTCTGGAACGGACCTGTTGATTTTGGTGCTCAGCGCACTGGACCTGGCGTGGGATGGAGGTGAAGCACGGGAGGTGCCCTCCGGTTTACACTAGAACCAGAGGGTTGGGCCAGCCCAGCAGTGCGAGTCAGATTTCTCCCAAATGTTCCTGTTTTCTTACCGTCTAAGGCTCTCAGGAGTGTGAATGAAGTGTGAATTCCCCTTTTTCCCCACTCCCATTCTTTAGGGCCCACCTAAACTGGGAAATGTGTTTTCAAAATGACATCTATCCATGCCTGTCTTGTTCCCTAATGTACTTTATGGAAATTCTTCACACTGCTAGAGCATTGGCGTTACTTGTTAGACAGCCTTCCACGACCTAGCTCTTTTCCAAGCGAGTCCCACATAAGCAGCCTTGAAACCTTCTTTCTGCCTACTCAAAAACAAAATAAAACCAGAATATGAGGAAGTGACAGCCAGATTTTTTTTAATAAAGTATAATTTAAAATAATTTTTTACTCTTTTTTTGTTTTTTTGAGATGGAGTCTCACTCTGCCACCCAGGCTGAAGCGCAATGGCACAATATCGGCTCACAGCAACCTCCACCTCCCAGGTTCAAGCGATTCTCCTGCCTCAGCCTCCTGAATAGCTGGGATTACAGGCGCATGCCACCACGCCTGGCAAATTTTTGTGTGTTTAGTAGAGACGGGGTTTCACCATGTTGGTCAGGCTGGTCTCGAACTCCTGACCTTGTGAACCACCTGCCTTGGCCTCCCAAAGTGCTGGGATTACAAGTGTGAGCCAGCGAGCCTGGCATTTTTACTCTTCATTAAAAAGTAGAGATGGAGTCTCACTACCTTGTCCAGGTTAGTCTTGAACTCCTGGCCTCAAGTGATCCTCCTGCCTTGGCCTCTGGCAATGCTGGGATTGCAGTCATGAGCCACAATGCTTGGCCAGGGCTTGGGGTTTTTGACTCCTCTTGTCTTCCTCCAGGAACCAGTGTTTCCTCTGGAGCTAAATTTTCATTATATGAGTTAGCACTTAGCTGAGAATTAAAGAACCAATTGAATAAACTTCATAGAGAGTTGTATTGGTTATTGAGTGACAGCTGTTCAGGAGACTATAGAGGAACCACTCAGAAGAGGCAGGGTGCAGTGGCTAACACCTGTAATCCCAGCATTTTCGGAGGCTCAGGAGGGAGGATTGCTTGAGTCTGAGAGTTCAAGACTAGCCTCGGCAACATAGGGAGATCCTGTATGTACCAATACATTTTAAAATTGGCTGGGTATGGTGGTGCACACCGTGGTCCCAGCTACTGGGGAAGCTGAGGTGGGAGGATCGCTTGGAAGATTTAGGCAACAGTGAGCTGTAATTGTACCACTGCACTGCAGCCTGAGTGACAGAGGGAGACCCTTCTCCAAAAAAAAAAACCAATCAATAAAATATCTGTAGGAAAATAATGTTATTGCTAATAAATGACTCAGCCTTTAACTTCCTTTTTTCTCATGGAAACAATTGTGATTTTACATTAAGCTTTTTTGAGGAATGTGGCCATCATATTATATCATAACTGCCTGTATACAGGAGATGATATGAAATGAATGAACTGTTTTCTTACATTTTCCTTTGTAGGGAAGATGGAAGAGTTGAGTCGAGCCCTGGCTAGTAGCTTTTCTGTGTCTGAAGATCTGAACAGCACAGCTGCCCCACACCCCCGCCTGTCCCAGTACAAGTCCAAGTTCAGTTCCTTGGAGCAGAGTGAGCCCCGCCAGCGATTACTGGAACTGCAGAAATCGTAAGGCAGCTTTAACTCCTTGGCTTCATTCTCTGGGCTAGGAGCTGTGAACCATTCAGGAGGCTCTAGGCTTGTCTGCAGAGTCCCCTTCAAAGTAGACCCTTTGTAGGCTGATCTTCTTGCCCACAAGGTTGGGAGGGGTAAATCCTGGCAGAGGTAGGTTTTTCTTTTATACCCAGAGCTTAGGAAAAGATGAGGAAGTAGGGAGGACCAAGGTTTGAAAGCAAAAACTCAATTATTCGGTTAAGTTCTTCCTTTTTTCCTGGCAGCAGTACTGAGCCCTGTGGTCCAGGAACTTGTGAAAGCCACGCCCAGACTTTCACTCCCCACATTCCCTGGGATGCTTCTGTGTGGCTCCTGCACTCTGAACGCTGGGATTGCTGTAGTCTTCCCATCTGCCTTCACTCTTGGGAGTTGAAGACAAATAATTCCTAAGGGAATCTGAGGAAATGTCTTCCATACACTTAATTCTAAGTGCCAAGATGTGCAGACAGGGAAAGAGAGCAGGATAAGAGTGTTTGGGGCTGAGCTGCTCTGAAGGCAGGACTGATCCTTACATTCCCAGTGCAGCATGGGCCTCTTCCGGGTCATAAATTAAGGAATTAGGGATCAGAAGAGATGACTAACAGCTGCATCGTTTCCGTACAGTCTGCATTTTGCCCAGTGTTGCATCACTGGATGTGTTTGGCAAAGATGGTTCCCTGTGGCTCTGGGTGGCTTGCAGAATACTCTCCCAGATGATTCTTCCTCTCCCCATTTTAAAAAATGTCATTAGTTATTTTCGAATAGTTAATACAGTCATATGGTTGAAAATTTAAAATATATGGAAGAGGCCAGGTACAGTGGCTCATGCCTGTAATCCCAGCACTTTGGGTGGCTGAGGCGGGTGGATCACCTGCAGTCAGAGATTCGAGACCAGCCTGACCAACATGGCGAAACCCTGTCTCTACAAAAAATACAAAAATTAGCCCGGCATGGTAGTGTGCGCCTATAGTCGCAGCTACTTGGGAGGCTTAGACAGAAGAATCGCTTGAACCTGGGAGGTGGAGGTTGCAGTGAGCCGAGATCATGCCATTGCACTCCAGCCTAGGTGACAGAGTGAGACTCCATCTCAAAAAATAAAATAAAATAAATAAAAGAGTATACGGTGAAGTCTTCCTAATTCTGTCCCCTAGCTATCCAGTTCC